CGTGTTATAAATCTTTTTTTTGTTTGTTTTGGATTTATGTCAGTACTTTACAAGGCTATGCACTACTACTAAATAACAGATCAGCATTGGCTGATACATTTGGTTAATCATCAGCTATCGGTAGTGGCCAAGAAAATCTTTAATTGGTGCACTCCTACTTTTATACTTATTGTTGCTCTATCATTTAAAAATTCACCTAAGTAGGAGTGCATCAATAAAGATTTTTGGGGTCAATACTGATGGCTGGATTATTATCAAGCCATATTGGTTGATACCAATCTAATTGCCAATAGGCAAGCCCAGCAGCTTGGAGAGCAGCATCTGGATGGTAAGTCTGTTGGGGACTCGGGGGGCGGGGCCTATGCAAGTTTTGAGATGGCTGCAGCCAAGCGGTTCACAACCTGTGGACTAACATGGGAGGAGGACAGGGCACATGGAGCCAGCTGCCTCCCTCCCAGGGCTGCCCAGACCCCCCAGCTTTAACCCTGTATGTCACTGCTGGCAGCAGAAACCTCTCGCCCAGGCAGACAGATGGGGGTCCAAGTGGGGGGATCGTGCCATGACACGGCAGCCAACCCTCTGCAGCTCAGTACCAGGCCATGGCCTGGTGGTTAGGAACCTCTGGTGTAGCCTTCCCCCGCCTCCCCACCATAGCCCCCTCTCCCAGCACCATCACCATCTGCCCCAAGCACAGCCCCAGCCCACCCCCAGCCAGGAAGAGCCTAGCGCTATCCCTGGCTCCAGTCTACAGCAGGCAGCCCACCTTTGCCCCACGCACAGATCTGGGGGGCATGTGCCCCCCATGCCTGCCCCAGGGGTACATGGAGCAGCGGGAGCCATCTCCCACTTCCCGTACCCCCTGGACGAGCTGTGGTTCTGTCCTGCACTCCAACTAGGCTGGGCAGTGCCTGCCCAAGTTCCACTCCCTCCCTCACTGCAGGGTCTCAACCTGCACCCCCACGTCCTTTCCCTGGTACCAACAGATTTAACAAGCAGATGCTGCTCATCAAGCTCCTGAACTGCATTCCTGGCTGCATGCATGCTGTAGCTGGACATATGCGCATGGCATTTATCAGCAACATTAAATCGGCCACATCAGGCAAAAAAGCCAACTGCTGATAACATCAATTTTCCCTTCATCAGTGCCAATACAATATGGACCCATGTATCGGTGCACCTCTACTAAAGAGTCATTGTCAATTACTGTTAAACTCAATATTTATATTTTTTTCTGGAACTAACAGAAATATGTTAATGCCTATGCAATGTTTCAGTATTTCCCACAAGCTACAGAAAAACCGTTTCACAAAAATTCCAGAGGGGACCCTTATGTCACTTAGAATCGTATCACAGAAAATTAGGGTTGGAAGGGACTTCAGGCATTTATCTAATCCAACCTCCTGCTCAAAGCAGGACCATCCTCAACTATACCATCCCAGCTAGGGCTCTATCTAGCTGGATCTTAAAGAGAAAGTTTTTCCCAATACAGGTTTCCCCCACTTTATGCAGGTTTTGTATGTGTGAATTCATTCTTATGCAATCAGTGTGGAGGAAGCTCAGTCAGCTGCTTTGTGTGGTGTATTGTGGGTGTGACTGCACCAAAACAGTCTCCTGTGTGGATCTGTGCTCCTTGCTCATCATCCGCAACATGTTTCTGTACTTGCCATCCCCGTTAATGCAGTCAAGCCCAGGGTACTGTCATGTCTGCTGCTGGCAAGTACAAAAATTGTCTTGTAAAAAAGTGGTAGAAATGGGCCTGGAGGTCAGTACAGTTGAGGTCTTAGAATGTGTCCCTATTTGTTACATTGTAAAGTGGGTTCCCTTTATGAGAATTCAAGTTATGCACTGTTTTCCAGGAACACATGTACAGCATAAAGCAAGGGAAGCCTGTATCTAACCTAAACTTCCCTTGCTGCAACTTGAGACCATTGCTCCTCATTCTGTCATCTGCCACAACTGAGAACAGTCTAGTTACATCCTTTTTGGAACCCCCTTCAGGTAGTTGAAGGCTGCTATTAAATCCCCACTCAGTCTTCCCTCCTCCAAACTAAATAAGCCCAGTTCCCTCAGCCTCTCCTCAGAAGGCATGTGCTCCAGCCCCTTGACCATTTTCATTGCCCTCCATTAGAATCTCACCAATTTGTCCACATCCTTTCTGTAATGGGGGGCCCAAAACTGGACACAGGACTCCAGACGTGGCCTCACCAGTGCTGAATAGAGGGGGATAATCACTTCCCACAATCTGCTGGCAATGCTTCTACTAATACAGCCCAGTAGGCCATTAGCCTTCTTGACAACAAGGGTGCCCTGTTGGCTCATATTCAGCTTATTGTTCACTGTAACCCCCAGGTCCTTTTCTGAAAATTTGCTGCTTAGCCAGCCTGTACCCATGCATGAAATTGTTCTATTCTAAGTGCAGGACTTTCCACGTCTCCTATTTGAATCTCGTGAGATTTCGTTTGGTTCAACCCTCCAATTTGTTGAGGTCTCTGAATCCTAGCTCCACCCTCAGTTTATCAACTACTCCCCCCAAGTTGGTGTCACCTGCAAACTTGCTAAGGGTGCACTCCATCCCATCTTCCAGATCATCAGTGAAGATATTGAACAAAACCAGCCCCAAGACCAACCACTTGGGCACTCTACTCGAGACAAGCTACCAGCTAGACATCAAGCTATTGACTACTATCCTCTGAGCCTGATGATCTAGCTGTTTTTCTACCCATCTTGCAGACCATTCATCCAACCAACCCATATTTCCTTAGGTTGCTTGCAAGAATACGGTGGGATATTGTACCAAAAGCCTTGCTAAAGTCAGAGTATATCATATCCACTGCTATTTCCACATCTAGAAGTCATCCTGTCATAGAAGGTAATCAGGCTGCTCAGGCATGACATGGTGAATCCATGCCAACTGTTCCTAAATCACCTTCTCCAAGTGCTTCAAAATGGACTCCTTGAGGACCTGCTCCATGATTTTTCCAGGGACTGAAATGAGGCTGACTGGTCAATAGTTCCCCAGATCCTCCTTCCCTTTCTTAAAGATGGCCAGGATATTTGCCCTTTACAATTGTCCAGGACCTCTTCTTATCGCCATGAGTTTTCAAAAAGTGACAGCCAGTGGCTCTGCAATATCATGGGCCAATTCCTTTAGCACCCTTGCATACATCCTGTCCAGCCCCATGGGCTTGTACGCTTCTAACTTTTCTAAATAGTCCCCAACCTGTCCTTTTCCCCCCTCTTGACTGCTTACCTCCTCCCCAAACTGTGCTGCCAGGTACAATAGTCTTGGAGCCAACTTCAGCCTTTTCCACATCGTGCCACTAGGTTGCCATTTAGTAAAGGACCAATACTTTCCCTGATCTTCCTCTTGTTGCTGACACTTGTAGAAACACTTCTTGTTACGCTTAGTCTAACCTACTATATAGCATAGTCATGACATTCATCCAAGCACTCTCTCAAGAGGAGAGACTTCAGTTAAGCCAAATAATTCAGTTCTCAAAAAATTAAAATGTGTGCCACAGCTAGTGAACAGAAGAGACATGCATGGGTTTCCTGTGATTGCAGTGAACCAATTAGATGAAATACAGCCAAATGATCTTGCCTCAAACTATATCGTTTCATAGTTGGTAGGGTCAGAAGGGACCTAAGCAGATCATCAAGTCCAACCCCCTGCCATGGCATTAAAGAGTACTGGGGTCAAACAACCCCAGCAAGGTGTTCATCCAGCCTCCTCTTAAAGACCCCCAGGGTAGGAGCCAGCACCACTTTGCTTGGAAGTTGGTTCCAGATCCTAGCTGCCCTGACAGTGAAGTAGCGCCTCCTGATGTCTAGTTTGAATCTACCCGCTGCCAGCTTGTGACCGTTATTTCTAGTCACTCCTGGGAGTGCTCGGGGGAACAGGGACTCTCCCAATGCCTGCTGGTCCCCTCCGACTAGTTTGTAACAGGCCACTAGATCCCCCCTAAGCCTTCTCTTGTGGAGGCTGAACAGGTTCAGGTCCCATAGCCTCTCCTCGTAGGGCCTGTCCTCCTG